TTTTATACAGAAAGTGTTTCTGATATAACTGACATTCATCTGTGATTGAAATCTTTCTTTGATCTCTTTGCATGGTTAACACATCTGAAACTCATTCACACTCCATTATATCAGAAGGTTTTATGACCTAATGACCACTTAGGATTACTACAGTAATAAGACACCTAGTCCTTGGAGTGAGCTAATAACGTTCTCCACTGTCCTCGTAAACACTAAGGATCATCTGTCTGTATTTAGTCTGCCAGCAGACTGGTCGTAATAGAAATGTTTGCAGATGATATTCTGTTGAATAGACTCTGAAAGTGATTCACTTATCAGCCATTTATACGGCTTGCAATGATACTGAGGAACCCTATCCCAAGCGAAATCTTGCACCCAAGACTGGAATAGCAACTGAGACTTAGTTTTGGTGCCAGAAATCCTATCCTGGTGGTGAGATAAATAAAATTAGTCTCTTCCTTATCCATTGCTGCATGTTTTTGTGTTTTTTTAGTGTCTATGACAAGCTCACAGACTGCATCTACCCAGGGTTTGGTAATGTACATACTGCAGTATATTAAAATAAACTGAAAAATAAATTGGATACAAATATTTTTTAGAAAAATAATTCCATAAACAAATATTTCAAATAAGTTCATTTAAAGGAAAGCATTTATCTGAATGTCATACTTAAATAAATTAACATCTAAAGTCGGAGGATTCTTTACATATCAATTTGATCTGTGAATATATGTTCTGACTTTGAAAAGTTGTCATAACCAGAAACCCGTCCCCGACAACACAGGACATTAAAGAAATAACAATTCCATTAATAATTTCAATATCTCCCACAGGTGTCTGGACAGATTGTGCACTGGTCTCATCCAGCTCTTCAACCTATTAAAGTAGAGACGTGTTCATGTTTTCCATCATCATGCTGTAGATGTTGTTCGGCTTCTATTTTACAGATTTTCATCGTGTTCCCTCTTGTTAATCCTATTATTCACAGATCATTGGATGCCTCATTTCTTCCCCACATTTCTTCACATGGGTTAACTAACTGCTAATACTCTTTGTAATACAATACTTGGCACCAGTCTGTCTTTATTTACAGTGTAAAAAATGAACCTAACAAGCAGGCCAAATAACACCAGACAAGACAATATAAAGGCTCTGAATAGCAGAGACTCTGTACTATTATGAACACAAAACACCAGCCAACAGACAGAACATTG